GAAGACCATGGAAATCACCCCAAAACCCCAAAACCCCAAAACCCCAAAACCCCATCAATAGATGACGTCGATGCATCTAATAGAATAATAATTTGATGAAATATCTTTGAATACAGTTAAATTTTAAATTGAATGTTAAGAATAATTTGCGTTAGTTTATCTCAGATTGATAAAGAAATATCAATGTTGCTGGGTAAAAGATGAATGTATCTAAATTGAGAAGTCTCATTATCTCTAGTGAAACTTTCTTGAACTTGCTTCATTTCAGCAACAAATTCAGTATGAGCTTAGTGTGAAGCAATGTTTGCCTCTACATCGTGTCTAGCTCTAGTGAAAGGGGAAGACCAGTCATTGAAGGTTTGAACTGTTCTAGTAGTGAGAACGTTAGCAATCTCAGTCATACCAAAGATTTGTGCATTGGTGGGCTGAGTTTCATGGATGTACTTAATTGATACATCGTCTTCAGTCAACCATCCCTTATCCTTGATTGACAAGTCTTGTCTGTAGGTGCTGAGTTTTGGCAATGGTTGTCTGAGACCGGGTGGTCTGAAAGCTGAGTAGTTGTAAGATTAGACTTGACTGAAATTCAAGGCCGAATGATAGCCAGAAACTTGCCAAATAATTTTGGTTAATGTCTCGATCACAGTATGGACTGTGTTTGGAGTTTTAGGGAAGCCTCTGATATCACCTTTCTTTTCGCTAGCAATTCCATCAAAGAAAGCGTTCAAAAGTTTATCATTTCTTACGGATTCATCAGTAGGGTACTGAGCACTGATTACCTTCTGAACATACTTGTGAATATGATCATAGATGATTTTTCCATCTCTAAGATATCTATATTTGTGCCCGTGTTTGAAGGTATTTGGGTCGAATCCTCTGTTTCTTGCCTCCTCGTAGAATCCAACCTCAACATTCCAGATATCACTTCTCTCAGTGTACCAACGTGCGATAAGCTCTGCAAAGTCCTCACCTCTTACTCCTTGGAAAAGACTGAGTGAGTTACTAAGTGGAGCAATGAGGGTAACTCTAGCTAAGTTATTGATACCAATAAGATTAACAAAATGAGGGGCAAGCATGTCTCCGACAACAGTATTTCCCTGAACGCCCTTTTCATTGGTTAAATGGTTGTAAGCATTGTGGTGAGAGATAGCGAAGGTTTCACCGATCATGTGACTCATTCCCAAGTGCTTCAAGACTTCGTGGGTTTGTGAATCAGCGCAGAGTGCATGCATCTTAGCAAGAATCCAAAGATTCTTAGGGGTTTTGTGTTCTCTCCATCTGCCACTTGGAGTGAATACCTCGAAGTCAGTACCGTCTGGTCCGAAGTAGAATCCAATAGCAAGTGGTACGTGCTTTCCATCAACAATGGCAGAAAGAACTTCTGGCTCTCTAAAGTAGAGTCCTCTAGTGGAAGCATGCTCATAATTAGGGGTAGCAAACTTTCTTAGTTCTGGGTATTGACTTATGAAGAGATCTCCTCTCTCGAACTTTGAAAGATCAATGAGTTGATCGTGCTCGTCATAAAGTTCTTTGAACTCTTATCTAAGTTTTTCAACTTCAGCTACTTTGATGGTGAATGGGTTGCAGCCATTAAACAATTCAAAGCAGAAATATTCATCCTTGTACCAGTTCAATGCAACCTCCTTGACAATGCTGAATTTTTCACCCTTAGGTACGAATGGTAAATGGAATTAATCATCGGCATCAGCTGATTTCTTAATGAAGTCGATACTTGTTCCGAGTTGGAGGAAGACGGATCTTAGGATCTATATGTCTGATCTCAAACTAAAACCTCTACCAACTTGATCAGCATATTTGAATAATCTCAATCCTGGAAGACCGTAGTCTAAGTACTAGATTTTATCATTGTTGTTTGGTTTAATGAATGCTTCGTAACCATTCTCAAGCTTGGCCTTGATAGCTAAAAAGTTTTCCAGTTGCTTTTAGATTGGTGTCAAGATGTTGGTTCCGCCATTAGGTCTGAAAACTGATTCAATGGAATTAGCTATCTTTGAAAGCTTTGAAGTGAATTTACTCTCAATGTATTCAAGGTGTTTCTCAGCCAAACCAGAGAGAATAGTGATAAGCTCTGAAGCAACGTTCCTTCTCTTTGAGTTAAGGATTTCAACTTGTACTTCGTATCTTACCTCATTACCCTTGAGTTGAGCAGTATCTTTCTTTAGGATGTGATGTAGGAAGATTTGAGTACCATCAGTTAGGTCAGCATCAGTAACCTTCATTCTTGCAAACTTTGTTTTTGAAATGATTTTCAAATAGAAATGCTTAACTTCATAGGTTGAGTACTCTTCATGTTGCTTTCTTTCTCTGAAGGGAATCTTTTTAGCAATGATGTACTGTGGCTCAGAGTCTGGCTCAGCGTCTGTGATATTGTATATGCCGTTCCCAAGGTCTTTAATATCAAAGCCTGGATAGAAACCTGATTTAGTCCAATACTTCTCAATCTTTGATTTAATGTAGTTAAACTCTCCTCTAATCTGTATCTTTACTCTGTTTGAATAAGGTCCATAGTAGTGAATGTCTGGTCTCTCCTCAGAAGTAGGTTGACTGTGTTCCATATGAAATTAAAAGATATATATAGTTAATCTTAAAATCGTGAGTTTAAATAGATCAGTTAGATTCGTTTATTATCTCAAATATATGCTACCACCTCAGAAATTAAGATTCCTTAACCATGGGGTTTTGGGGTTTTGGGGTTTTGGGGTTTTGGGG